TACAACTTGGATCATGCAACGACCCTTGGATCGAGGTCACGACTAAAACAGCTCTTTCGCTTGTCAGATCGATCGCAAGAAACCGACCATCAGTGCTTAAAGTTTTGTTTGAACGAAATCGAGCTATATTTATTTTGTCACTTCAGACTCACTTTCCCTTCTTCTTCTTGTCATTTTTAACTCATCACTTTCCACTTCTTTTGTACACACACCTTTCAATATTTTCTTTTTAATAATTAACTTCAACTTGAAAATTTTTCAAACATAAAACAAGTGTATCTCTTTTAGTTCATTACTAATGAACAATAACTTGCAAATAATTTTTTTTCTTCATTTACAATCAATTTCATTTTATTATTTTATATTACTGATATGATATTTAAAAAAAAACTAGATCTGTACTACACAGAGAAACAAGTTGACCCTTACCGAAATCTGCAGAGATTTTTTTCTCCCATAGACCGAAACGAGCCAAAAATTCTTGCGGTTCGTGATTCGCAAACGACAAAGAGAATTTGAGTATCGTTTAAGGCAAAAAGAGAGAGATAGAAAGAGAGAGATGGACTGGCGAGTGTCCAAGATATCCCTCTCGGACGAGGCACTTTAATTTGTTAATGCACGTCTTCATTGGATACTTCCTGCTACAGATTCCGTGATTCAATTTAATTAGAGTGTACCGCGGGAGGATCGTTCTACATAGGATATAGCTCTTGCAACGAAAGTATTATATGTATATTAACAGTGGGGGGTTTTTTTTCTTTACGTGTGTATATATAAAAAAGAAAGAATAAGAAAAATTCAAAGAATTCAATTTTGTATAGCAACGGTTGCTATGATACAGATTACCTCTAGTAACTGTTAGCATAGTAACGGTTGCTAAGCTACCAGTTACCTAGTAACGGTTACTGTTACTATATATGACAACAGTTGCTATGCTACTGCGCTTACTCTGTTACTATTAATATTTCAATTAATATAACAGACACAAGAAATTTAGTGTAAGCGTTGCTTCTCCGACTGGATTTTTTTTTAATTTATATTTTCTTCTATTAATCATAAAACTGCGTTCACTTATAGTGACTGAAATATCCAAATAACTTTATATTATGGAAATAGTTGATAAGTAACTGGTAACACAGCAACCGTTGCTATGGAAACGGTTGTTATAGGTAACTGGTAGCATAGCAACCGCTGTCATAGTAACCGTTATCAAAATTAATATAACAGTCTTGAAATACAGGAGACATTATGCCGGTGCTTCTCCGACTGATTTTTTTTTTAATTTATATTTTCTTCTATTAATCATAAAACTGCGTTCACTTATAGTGACTGAAATATCCAAATAACTTTATATTATGGAAATAATTGCTATAGTAACCGTTGCTGTGCTAACGGTTGCTAAGTAACTGGTAACACAGCAACCGTTGCTATGGAAACAGTTACTATAGTAACCGTTGCTATGTAAACGGTTGTTATAGGTAACTGTTAGCATAGCAACCGCTGCCATAGTAATCGTTATGAAAATTAATATAACAGCCTTGAAATACACTAATGGAGACGCTATGCCGGTACTTCTCCGACTGATTTTTTTCCATCTACACAATTCGCAAATACATGAGATGCAAAAAAAAAAAAAAATGAAAGAGACGCGCGCGTTCGAACACATCACTATAATACGTCATCATTTTGTTGAAAACACACTTGTCTGTCCTTGCTTTCTAATTATCGTGTCATTATATAGCGTATGCGTGCAATGTGCCTGCTTGTCTCTTACACAAACTAGTGATATATATATATATATGTACAGAAGAGAAAGAGAGAGACTCCCTTCTATATTTATCCATTGTTTGGTCTTTATGCAAGAGCTTTTCAGTGGATCACTGCCAACCAAGAAACTTATTCGAATGACGAGAAGGCCAACCAAAAGTAAAATGACTTTAAATAATATATATATATATATATATATATACATTTGATAAAATGATATTAGTCTAAATATTGACTGATTTTTAATTAAAATTATAATTTTATTTATAGTATATTAATATTTAATTTGTAAGATTCTCTCTAAATTTCTTTAATTATAATTGTAAATTAATTATATAATTATTATTAATATAATAATTCTTCTACTTGGTTGAGATGCATATTATATATTATATGATTTTCAAGAATCTTTCTTTCAACTTACGTCAGCAAATATAAAATCTTTTATCCCTACTTTTTCACAAAAATCGCATTGGGATCATTTCACTCTAAAATTTATGGCAATTGAATTCGAATTCAATAGGATATTCTTTTATTGGAAAAAAAAGAAGACTAAATAAATAAATGATAGCTCTATTAAAACGAATATATATATATAAAGTAAATAACATGGAATTTGACATTGTTAATGGTCTACTCGGAAGGAGAGGAAAATGTAGAATATTAATAGAAAAGTAAGTCCGTGGTACTCGTTACAATTGCGGTTTCTCGTTATTTCTCCTTCGACGCGCGACGCTCGTTAATCTCTCTTTCTCTCTCTCTCAGCAGGAATTCTTTCAGTCTCCCCCCCCCACCTCTCTATCTCTCTCAGATTTCCTTTTAGAAACCTCAACGAAAACTGAAATCCAACTTAAGAAATAAAGTGAATCCCTGTGGATGTTAAATTTCGCCTTAGAAATAGAAAAAAAAAGTCTATTCACCGATCTCTTACTATTCAGCTCCAATGTTGGTAAAATTATAGCCAACTTGAGCTCATCTTTTAGCATTACTTTCATAAACAGTTCCATTCAAATATTTTGTTATCCGAGAAATTTTACTTAAAAAAAAAAGCAATACACTAATATTGCAAATCAATTATATCGATTTTATAAAAATTTCCTTACAAAAAAAGATAAAGAAATTTAACTATTATATTAACAAAACATTTATACTTTCTGTTAAGTCAAAAATTTTAAACTTATTGATACTTTTATACAGCAGTTTATATAAAAAAAGCAGTAACATTTGTTAATAAAAGTTTCAATGTTTTTCTCTCACATTGCAAAATAAATTACATTCATATATATATATATATATATATATATATATATATATATATATATATATATATATATATATATCTCAAACGTATTTTTCCGGGATCAATTTCAATTTTTTCACCCCCGGGTTTTTCCACACGTGTCAGCCTTCAAATGTGAGTACACAAAATAAAAATATAGAAAAAAAATTGTAATATACTCGTGTGTAACGTTATATATACATATATATATATCTTAAAATTGATCTTGTTTTTTCAACACTCGATATCGTCAAACTATAGTAAATATGAAAAATTCAACACGATAAATATGCGAGTAAGAAAAGAAGGAATGAAATGATTAAAATTTATTTTTATTTAAAAAAAACAAACTTCCAATCCAGAGCAAATTTACAATTGTTTCACGATCATTTAATTATATAGTCACAGAAATAATATTAGCAACACAAAAAAACTACACCATATCTAGATATTATAAGTAATATTAATTAATTTTTTATTCATAAATTAATTATTATAATCAATACTAAACAAAAACTATTAGTTTTCTTTTCTAGTTATTTTCTGCTATATTCATATTTAGAGAGTATGTGAAGCTACTTTAAAGTTTTATCTCTAAAATGAAGAATATTAAAAAAATAAAAATAAAAAAAGAAAAGCAAAATTCTATTGACCAGATGAAATCGTGTGGCAACATTCAGAAAGAATGGGAGGGAAAGCGAGTAGAACTTTAAAAGGAGGATGAGGGTGTGTCGGGGTCGAGGGGATGAAAGGGTGAAAGGGGGGGAGGGAGAGAGAGAGAATCTGCTGAGTAAGGGTGAGCACGTGTTGCATGGGCATGGTAGTGTGCGGTGCATCGAGTGAGGCACTCGCTCCCTGTGTACTACTTGGTGAACGAGCACAAACGTGTGTTTGTGTATATATATATATATATATATATATATACATGAGCGTCGTCCACTAACGAGTCGATGACCTTAGCGCTATGCTGGTTCTGGAGGTCCACCACGAGTAGGAATGCACCGGTACGTGCATGCATAACCGTCCGATTTCCCCTCCTCTACCCTCAAAGCTACACAAGAATCTCATCGACTCCACCCCTAAAATCCATTATCCAAAAATATTTTCCCGCTTTCCTCAAAAATTTGTTTAACTTATACATATTTATGTACTTTTCCCAGAGAAATAAATATTTCAATGAATTTTTTTTTTCTTTCAACAAACGTTACAGGAAAAAAAAATGTCACGCAATCTACTTTTGTATATATCTCTTTAAATAATATTCAATTCGATTTTAAATACATACAATTTTAAAACTCTCCAAAATTTGAATTAGTTTTAAATAAAGAATAACAAAGAAAAAACAGTCACTGATGCAAATACAGTAAAAAAATTTTTAATATTTTAGTTAAAAATCTAATTGTTAAATTCAGTTTTGACATATTAGTTATATAACAAATGGTAACTAATTAATAAATTTAGTTCAATTTGACTATTTTTTTTGTTAATTTTCAATTAAAAATTATAAACTTTTTACTTATGATTAATTATTCTAACTTTGATTAGTAATTAATTATAATTATTATTTAACTAATTTTTTATTAGAAATAAAGTTAATTTTTATAAATTTCAATAAATAAGAATTAGTAAAAATTTGAACTGTAGTTGAAATTAGTAGCTGACTTTTTTTTTGCTTTAGTTAAACTTTATTAATTTGTGAGTAAAAATAAATTCTATACTTTTATAGGGTGTCTAACAATGCAGGGTGGCCACTAAATCTCGCGGATAAAATTCCAGGTCATTTCCAGGTTTTTTCCAGGTTTTTGAGAAATTTTCAAGGTTTTGAAAATAGTTCTTTATTTAGCACTTTATTTATATAAATGTTAATTATTATTAATTAAAGCAATATATTGTTTGTTTTAAAACAATTTTTAAATATTTTAAAATTAAATAAACTTTTTTTTAACTTCTTATTAACATTTAAAAGAGTAGATCATATACATAACGAAAAAAAAAATACGAGATCTTTGGATCAGTTTCCTTGTTTTAACATACATATATTCAGAGACTATTTACTTTTTATAACTTCGATTTTTTTATCCAAAACTTGTGCAGCTTTTTCAGCGTCTTTTAAAACTTTACTTTTTTCGTTTTCTAAATTTTTTATTAGGAAAGAATTTTCTTTTAATTTAAGGAGTTCCTGTGATTCATCATCAGATGTTTTTTTTTTACGTTGCAAGGCTTCTTTGTACAATTTATTGGCGTTTCGAGCAGCGTGAATTAATGATTTAGTAATTGGAACCTTATTGATTCCACCCAAAGCATTTACCGCGTCATAGATTATCCTATTCGCTACAAGAGTTTCTTGCGTCATATTTTCGAAAATACTTTCAGCGTTGATGGAAAATCCTCGCTCGATGTTCGCGTTACCATGAGAAAGAATGAGTGTCGTTTCTAAAACGATTTTAAAATCATGGTATTCTCTGTCGTTATTAAGCACATGCCTCATCCAAAAAGAATCTAATCTTTCCTTTTTTCTGTTGAAAATTTTGCATTCCTCAATTACAGTCATTGATGAACATAATTCTTTGTACTGATGAAGTGCCGTATCAGCAGTCGCAGAATGAATCCAGTTATTATCATGTAATATGTGCAGGAGTTTTTGAAATCGCTCTTTTCCTTCGGGTTTCAAAAAGATGACTGGATCAAGAGAACTTATGGCTTCTGTTAGCTTGAATTTAAGTGGAGAACGCTCATTGATTTTTGAAACAAATTTTTGCAATATCCTTCTACAATCTCGACGAAAAACAGCAATCTCCAAATCGGTCACGCGTTTTCTGCACTTCTTGATTTCTTTTAATGATTCAAATCCAATTTCGATTTTCTGTGAATGAATAAGATTTTCTTGTTTATAAACGTCGACGTCTGGTCGAATACACGATGGTTTTACAAAGCGATCCATGATCTTCTCAAGCAAAGCATGTAAAGCTGAGTATAAAAATGGTGCAAGTGGCCAATCGGACTGGAATTCTCGAAGAAATGGCTCCACATCTGTTGCAATCGTTTTAAAGAATGCTAATTTCGGACCAATCATTGGATCTTGCATGCACTCTGTTACCTTTTTATAACTAGCTGAAGATGGTTGCGTTTTTTCATTCTCAGCGGTCTTAATAAATGTTTGTACATGAGGCAACATGTCAAGAGCTCTTTGCGCTACGTCAGCATTTTCTAACCATCTAATAGAACAGAACTTCATAGGGAAAATACTGGAATTTGTATAACACGTGTACAAAGCTCTTCGTGAAGGCACATCTTTGAAAACATTGTACAATCCTCTTAAAAACTTTACAATATCCCAATCAGTAGCGCTAAATCCAGCTTTGAAGCCATTATGACAAGTGTGAATACCACAGCTTCCCAACTCCAGCAAAACTGTATCGCATTCACAATTTTTCAAATATACTTTTAGATCTTTTAGAAACTTTAAATTTACATTCGGACCGTCCATCGATATTTGTAATATTAGTTGCACATTTAACGGTTTCAAAGCCTCTAAAAATGCTTTTAACAAATCGACAGCTTTAGTACTTCCTAGAAAGGCTGAAGTCAAATACCTGGTGCACACTTGATTCGTCTGATCATCCCAATACCTCACATTTATGTCCATTTGTTGTTGCTGGCATACTTTATTTAATGACTCATCAAAGCCAATCACGAAGCGAGGGCAGTTAAGTAAGACCTTATTCAATTCTTCCTTAAAATAAGGAGCTATGCCGAAAACGATGGTATAACCAATTTTTGTCCTTTGGAGCTGAAGTTTCTGAGCTATTTCGCTGTCAGAAAATATCATCTTAAATAAAGAAACATCCTTAGCAGCAGTTCTCATCGACTTATGAGTGATTACAGATTGCAGGCACAAAATAATCTCTGCTGTTGTGACATTCTCTTTAAGAAGATGCGCTTTTATCCCACGGACTTCGGCTTTCTTCGTCACTACAGGTTCCTTAACAAAAAAATACATATAGATAAATATTGCTATTAACAATTTGCAAATACAACATGTCGCTAATTTAAACCATAATGAGATTAAAATTAATGTAAAATCAAACCTGAAATGACTTTTCAGAATCATTTGCTTGAGGAATAGGCTCTGGTATGTAATTTTCTGATGTGGATTTGGGAGATGACAGTTGCGCTCGAATATCGACAGTCTTTTGCATTACTAAAAGTTTTTCTTTGTGTTTTTTACTTTTCATATGGCTTAGGAGACTCTGTCGACCCATATTATATACAGATATGTCTTTTAAACATAAAAAGCAATACGCATATTGACCATCTTTGGCACTTTTTTTTAACCAATTAATAAATAACGGATCAGTAAGCCACTGCTCTTGAAAAACAGATGTCGAGTGCTGGCGAGGCATTGCTACAATTGTAAATCTGAAAAAATATAACAATTTATTTAATAATGTTTCTCCTAAAAAAAGTTTAACCTTATGCTTAAGAAGTGAGATGTATGAAAAAATTACTAGCAATCTGTTGTCCGAAGTAAAAAAAAGCGTAAACAATAATATTAACATTTACAATGTTTTAATTATTTTTTAAATTGTTCACTTAATATATATTCATTCTTAATTAATTTTAATAACACATATTTCACAGAGAAAAAGTTATAAAAAAACAGCTTGTAAGTTTCCCTAAATCCAATTGATTTATTTTAAAGAGAGATTAAATCTCATGGCATAACCTCAAAGTAGAATTTAAAAATATCCAGTTGTGCAATTTTGAAAAAAATTATTATTACTCAAAATTTGCTGTTGAATAATAATTATTGAATATTTTGTATTTTTTATAAAAGTTATTTTACAATCGTAATTTGAATATTAATTTTTGAAAATATTGTTAACGTAATTCAACAAACAATTCATGTAAATGATTAAAAAACTTTATTAATTTCAATTATATATTTGTTGATAAACTTATACATAAATTTTTAAACTTGAAAATATCGTAAACACGAATCCTAAGATTGAGAGATCTGTCAGATACAAACATAACCTCAAAATGCGTCAGAAATATACTAGAAATATACATTCGAAACATTTTTCTTGTAATTAACTACATAATAATATAAATTTAATAGATTGTAAAACAATCTATAAAGACAAATTTATAATTAAAATAACACTTTCTGATGCAATGAGAATGTTAAAAAATAAAATTTATTGTTAACTGTTCGCGACTTTTGTAGTTATCAATTTAATAATAATGCGTGCATTATATAATAGGTAGTACTTACCACAGTAACTGGCGTATTATCTAAAAAAAACTTTACATTTTCACTAAAAACTCTGAGATCGAACTTATTTCGTTTTTGTCAAACAAATACTGTAGTAAAAAGATAGTTGCATGTTCACGTTCTACCCATAGAATGTTTATGCAGAGTTGGGGTATTAGAAGACTCAATTATGAGACAGGCACGGATCGGGGATCCACCTGTGAATTTCTTTCAGAATAGTCATATCGAAAATTGATTGGCTTAAAGATTAGGACGAACAGAAAGCAGACAACTTAATGATGCGCATAGAAATTGTAGGAATGTGATAAAAGCTTTATGTTAAATAGATCGGACCTAACCACATTTTCCGGAAAACTCGTTCACGAATATCAATTAAATTTCAGTTGGGAATTAAAATTCAAGGTTTTGAAAAAAATTCACGTCCAATTCCAGGTTTTTTCAAGGTTTAACAAAATTCACGTCCAATTCCAGGTTTTCCAGGTTTCCAGGTCAGGTGGCCACCCTGAACAAGGATTGAGAAAAAAATTCCCTGACTCCTCCCTGACATTTTTTTATTTTTCCCTGACTTTTTAATAACCTTACTTCTGCTTTCTTTGGACAAAAATATCGTTACTGACATATTTAACAATAAATTAATTTTTAATGGTAGTAACAAATGATAATAAAAACCATTCGTTTTTTTTTTTAGATTAAAACATTTTTAAATTCACAAAAGATTTTAATTTTTGTAGAAATTTATAGAAATTTCCCTGACTTTGAATGAAATTTTCTGAAATTCCTTGACTTTTCCCTGACCGTTAGACACCCTGTTTTAGTTAAATTTTACTACAAGTTCAGAAGAAAAAAGTTAAATTTTTTATTGGTCGTTCAAATAGAGAGATTTTTATATATATATATATATATATATATATATATATATATATATATATATATATATATATATATATATATATATATATCGAATCCATTTCTATTATTATATCAAAACATATTAAGAATTCAATTCATTTCTGCTCTATTCCTATATACTTGTTATTTATAACACGAACCTCAAAATGATGACAACTTAACTCTGACCAATATGAAAATTAACCCATTAATCTAAAAATATACGTGCTAATAGACATGAATTTTTCATATAAAATAAAATACCTTCCTCAATTTATATTATTGAGAATGTAAAAAAAAATTCAAGAATAAAATTTTCTATTATACTCTCTAAATATAAATTAGTAAAAAAATAACTAATTATTACTAAAAAGAAACTAATCTTCAATAGAAAAATAATTTTAAACTATTAAATTTAATATTTTTTAACTCAGTTAAATTAAAATTACCAGAAATTTTAATTATACATAACCTGAAAGTGAATTAAATTTCACCGAAAAAAACTTTAATTGATAAAAACAAGTATAGTTTAAAATAGCATGATGATTTTTACTAAACTTAGTAATACTAAATTTAAATAGTTAATTTTAAGTGTAATTATTTGTTATTTTTAACTAATAAATTCTAGTAATTAACTATCAAATTAAGTATTTTTAACTAATTTAAATTTAGAGAATAAAGAAACATTTTGAATATGAAATTTAAAGCAATATTATGAGAGTGTATGTGTGGTGATATGGATGTTGAACGATAAGGAAAAAAGAGAGAGTGAATGAGAGAGAGAGAAAGGGGAATGCTACCCTTTGCCATAGGGGTGGCTGAATACATCGTAGTTGTCTCACGGTCGAATATTCATGAAATCCTCCCTCTCCCTCCCATGGAGAGTTGATTGAGAGGCGAAGCTTTGCAACTGTATACAATTCAGCAGCGCCGAATACAAAAGCAAAATGGAGGTAAACATTCCCGTCAATCACGGATCGATGCCTTTCACCTAATACAGTTTACGTGACTGTGTGACTCTACGCATTTACAAGTAGAACAGCCACAATTACATGCCGAATGTATATATTTATATATAATTATATATATATATGTGACGCTCCACGGTGAAAGGGTGCTTAGCTGCTTAAAATTTTAGGTTATGTTCATGGTAGTTTTTGCTTTATTAAAGATTTATTTTTGATTATTTAACATTAAAAGCATTTTTTACTAAAAATATTACATCTAATAAATAATTAAATAATAATAGTTTGTACCTTAAACTAATCGCTTTTATTTATTTTTACTGCAAAGTTTATTTCTGTCAAAAACAGCTAAGCACCCTTTCACCGTGGAGCGTCACATATATATATATATATATATATATATATATATATATATATATAACCACATGCGTTGATCAACAAATGTGTTACTTGTACACATTATCGTGTATAACAAGAGACGGAAGTGGGAAGGTCATATCGCATACTAAGAATACCAAATGCACTTTTCACTTATATCATTTCATCTTAATTATACATATATCACACTAAATTAAAACTTTTTCGAGGATTCATATCCAAATGTAAAAAAAAAAAATTTTATGCTTTACTCACGGCAAATAAACATCTATGAAAAAACTGTATTCTCACCTGAAACAAAAAAAAAAATAAAAATTCATTAATTAACATAAATAATTCAGTAAATCATGACATACAAAGAAAATTATGTATAAAAAAAAATGATGCCACTAATTTTATACTCTTTTTTAAAAATTATATTTCATCATTTAATATAACGAAATCGTATTGGTGCGATATATATATAGGTATATATTTATCAACTATTATGTACGTGCTTCTCATATATTGTCGATAGTGAATAAAAAAAAAAAAAAAAAAAAAAAAACTTTTAAAGAATCATACTTATACCAACGGAAGAAACATGTTGAAATTGTTACGCAAGATGCGCACTGTGCAACAACTTTGTTGTGTAATGCAAGTTAAAAAAAAAAAAAAAAAAAAAAGAAACAGTTAAGTACAAAAATATTTTTTTTACAATCACTTAAAATATTGACAAAAAGGAAGTACTACTATTTACTATTTTGTAGTATTATTATTATATTTATTACTGTTAATATTAACAATAATAGTAATATTAAAAAAGATAGTAATAGTATTAAGAAGAAGAAATATAGAAGAAAAAAAATTATTATACGTAGCCAAATATTTGGTATTTCAATCAAATCAAAATTGACGTTGGTAATCGTTCATGTGCGAAATATAAATAAACCCTAACTCAAAAGTAACAAAGTGACTCTCGGCATTTTGCGGCGATCGGGTATCATTGACACTCCCCTTGAGAAACCCCCCCGGCTCTATAATTCGACATATAATAGCACATAAATTGGCGCAACCATCTAATTCCTCTTGCTTTGAACACACATAATTATATATATATATATACACACTAATCGTCACACACGTGTTCATAACAAAATATAGATATTTTTGCATGTATATATATATAAGAGGAGAACATAGTCCCGAAGCACAGAAAAAGAGAGAGAGAGAGAGAGAGAGAGAGAGAGAGAGAGAGAGAGAGAGAGAGAGAGAGAGAGAGAGAGAGAGAGAGAGAGAGAGAAAGAGCTACTTTAGGGTCAACGCATTGCCAAGGTGGCGGCCATGTGGCACTCTGATGCACATTAGAGCGCTTGCGTGCCTCCACTTGTGCACACGTGCAATGGCCATGTGTCGGTGCGCTCTTAGTACATAATGTAGCTATGTAGAATCTACGCGGGTTTGCATATGCACTCTTTCTCTACTCACAAAGAGGGAGGTCTGCTGAATAGCAGGTAGTAACTTCACTTTTTTTTTTCTTTTTTAAACTTGTCTTAACTTCACGTTTCAACTAATATGCTATAATTTGTCGTAATTTAGTAATTATATTGATCTCTTGCGTTAATTAACACCACAGTGAGTAGAGTACACTTTTTGATACTTCCGATAAAATATCAATATAATTTACTAATTATTACAATAATAATAAATAATCCGATCTCCTCTCTAAATTTGAATTAGCTAAATTTTCACTGTTTGAATCAGCGAATAAAATTTTCACTGCAAATCAGCGGATCTAATAACATAGCGAAACACGAATCGGCGAACGTCGGTCATTTTCGTCGAAAGATAAATTCATTTTTAAAATGGAGTATTCCGCTGATTGAAATACATAGTTGTTAGTCGCTAATTCGCAGCTGCATACTTATAGCTTTTTCAATCAGCGACTATTCGCTGCCAATCAGCGGATTTTAGCTGATTTAAATTTAGAGAGTGGCGCCACATCAGGCCCTAAATTGTCCTGATCGGATCCGTTCAAAATTTCTAATTTTAAATATAAACCATCATTGGTAACTTTTGGTTTGAAAAAAAAAAAATTATCCCACTTCATTGACACGTGTTTGTGGCGCATGAAGAAATGTTGTTTACAATAAAGGATCACATACGTATTCAAAGGAGAAGAAAGAATATGAAAAAAAGGGATAGAGACCGAAACATGAATAAAAAAAAAATGGGATGTTCAAACTCTCTTTTGGTATATTACACGCGTGTGTAGTTGTAAACACGATAGCCACTTGCACGCGTACGAACAATAGTCAACGTGTCAATGTATTGTGTTATTTATGTGTGTGTGTATATACCGCGCGGCAAAATATGTGTGTCACGTACGTGAATTATCTATTGTGCACAGGAGCGGAACTTTGCCGACTCATTATACTTACCATTGATGAAGAAGGTGTGAGAAACTACTAACGACGAACTTATATTACTTATATATACCCCCAACAATCTACAATGGACCTTTCATGTATTATATGTATACTTGACTTAAAAAATATACTTTCTCGAAATATATTTCTAAATTTTTCATCAGAAATAAGAATCACTGAATTACATTTCTAATTATCTAAATTCCAAAGCACTTCTTTTTTTTTCATATCGGATAATCCACATTATAATTCCAGAGACAGAAACAATTTTCCACACAGAAAATCGATATCAACTAACTTCGGATTACGGCTTATTTAATTATAGGAAATTATAACAGATCGAATTGAATACATCGTTTAATTGAGATTTGAAATAGAAATTAGTAACCACCTGTCCTGAATCACGGAATAAAAAAAAAAAATTTCCAATTTTTTTAAATAGTATTTAAAAAACTTTCGTAAATCTATATTTATACTTATATTATAACTTTCCATAAATACTTCCACTTTCTTTCAACAGTTATAAATAGAAATAATCAGAAATAACGATTTCTCAAACTAAATATATATAATAACTGATTATATATACGAGAATAAAATGTGTGTTATTAGTTTACAACATGATCAATGAAAGATGAATTTTTCCTTAGGGAAAATCGTATAAACTCTATAGGTATATATAATGATTATAAAATATATATATAGCTATATTATGAGTCTTTTGAATACACGCAAGAAACGACTTAACCTTTCATCGATCTCTATCCAGTTGGTAAAGCGCGTGTCCAATATACTTAGAGAGAAAGAGAGAGAGAGAGAGAGCAACAACGATCTACTTAATAGCGGAAAGGAATCCCCTC